ATAAGGGTTTAGGTGCCAGATGTGGCCGATAATTTGGCCGATAAATGCCTGTGTGTGCACACAGCTGCAGCACAGCACGCAGGCAGTGAGGAGCATAGCCTGGCAGCTTGGAGAGCTGCGTGCAGCCAGTCAGTCTGGTGTGGTGGAAGGGGAGGGGTGGGGGAAGGGGTGTAGGGGAGCAGATCAACACCCCCCACAGTAAGGGAGGAGTGTGGCAGGGGGGGACACTACCTGGGTGGGGTGAGGCAGGTGTGGGATGGAGCCGCGGCTCATCTGGGGAATGTTGGGGGTGGCTCCCACTGCTGCATGCACCTTGGGAGGGCATGGGGATGCGTGTGCCCCTGGATCTGTGTGGGGGGGGTCAGGTGGGCTGCAGCTGTGAGTTGGAGCTGGGGTTGTGCTGGGCTCTTCTCGGAGGGGGCTGGGCTCAGGGTGGATGGTGTCCTGAGCCAGCCTGGCTCAGCTCCAGCTCCAGCCCGCAGCTGCAGCCCGCCCTGCACAGATCTGGGGGGCACATGACCCCCGTGCCCTCCTGGGGTACGCGCAGCGGTGGAAGTCACGCCTCTGGACAAGCTACAACTCTGTCCCATACTTGCCCTGCCCTGGCTGGGCAGCGTCTGCCCCAGCCCCTGCTCCACTCCTTCCCTCATGGGGGGCATTGATCTGCCACCCCATTCCCCTTCTCCCCCCACTCCCCTTCCACCACAACACAGCACACTTACCAGCTACATTGAGAGCAGCATGGTAGAGAAGGGTGGTGTGAGGGGGGCGGTGTGAAGCCGGCAGCTGATTCTAGACACATCCACGCATCTTGGCAATTGTGCTGCACCATGTAAAAGTGAATCCACACTGTGTACAAAAATAAATGGTCACAATTAATTGATTGTGCATAACTGAAACCATGCAAAAAATACCGTGTAAATCAAGGCCCAGCTGTATTTGCTTTGTGGTGGGAGAATGCAGGCAGCCTCGGAGCAGCTTACACTCCTCTAGCTGCTCCAGGCATGTGCTCCTAGGGCTTGAGGGGCCTGATTCTGCATTGTTAGGAAATTCCTGTGCAGTGTCAGGCTGCTCAAGTCCTGGAGATTCCCCAGGTTGGGTCTCTGTAGGTGGGGAAGATGTTGCCTTTTTTCCCATATAATCAACAGGCAGGACAAAATGCAACACGTTTCACCCAGCAAAGCTAATCAGCTGTGCTGGAACATTATTGATCTTGTCAATATTGCCTGGTATTGGGTCAGTGCCACTGAGAAGGTAACAATCAGCCACCTTGATCGGTGTTTGATCTTTTTCAACCTTCTGGATCTCTTCCAGTCATGCTGAAGGCCTGAATAAGGCTTGGTGGACTGTTTCCTTCTGATTAAAGAGAGATGTCAAATGTCTGTTATAATGTCCTCCAAAAGTCATGACCTGTCTTTAAATTTGACTACAATGATTAACTGAATAAGAACAACAATAATAAAACAATAATTATATAGGTGTAAGAGTCTTATTTGCAAGCTACATTCACCTGCTCTTCATTCTCTTGCCAACAAGGCAAATAAATATTGTGGTTTTGGAACTGGCTACAATTTAACTACTATTGGGGGCTGGCTGCTGATGACTTTCAGGTTCCCACAGACTCTCATTTCCATCAGTATTAGGAAAATGTGCAATGGATGGAGTTTACTCATTACCAGTGATCCTGGCATTCTCTCTTTAAAAAATCCCAAATTTTCTGGGTAAAAACCCCCCAAGACAATTTTTTTCTATTAAAATGAAACACCACTATACATAGGTATCAGTTGACCACAATGTTTTACTGATATATTTACAATCTTAAGGTAATTTGGAAGCCTACCAGTGCCTCAACCATTATAGTAAAATATATTTTAAATACCTATACATTTTCGTGTTGATTTGGGTTTTTTTATCATGAACAGGGTCCCCCCTGCCTGATCGTCCTCCTCCTGCTCTCGGCAGCCCCAAGCACCCCCCTGCAGATTGGAACTGTGTCAGCCTGCAAGGGGAAACCCGTGGTTTCCTGCATTTTTCTCCTTTAAAGGAGAAAGTCGGTGATTATTTTCCTTTAAAAGAGAAAATCCACATTTTTTTCTGTTAAACGAGAAAGTCCACATTTTTCTGCAGAAAACGGAAAAACACAAATCCTTCTCATTACACACTAAAATCAAAATTAGCTCCTTCCTTTGCAATTTTTCTAAGTGCTTTTCTATACATTGTTGCGAAGCATAAGATAATAGACAAGCTCTTAGGAACACTACTTACAGCAGGGGTCAGCAATCCCTGGCGGGCGTGCTGAGCATGGCACATGAGGCCATTTTGCTCGGCACGGCACGGCACAGCCAGCCCAGGCTCTGGATAGCTGCTGCCAGCGACGGAGCCCAGGCTGCTTCCAGCAAGGCTTGCAGCATCCCAGCTGCCTGCTGGGAGCAGCCCGGGCTCCTGGCTGGCAGCAACTACTCAGAGCTGGTGCTGGCTGCAACTGGGAGGCTGCAAACTGCTGCACTGGGCTCTGGAGCCCAGGCATCAGCTCTGTACCGGCGTGTGCACATGTGCCTCGGAGCAAGCAGTGGGGGAGGGGTCTGAGGCAGCGCAGCCCCAGTCTCTCCCCCACTCCTGGCACAGAGGTGATGGCAGGGGTCCGGAGCTGACAGCTGCGCCAGGCTCCACAGCTCCGGCATCAGCCCCTTGCCCCCAGCCCAGGCTCCAGCAGTTACCCAGAGCCGGGGTAGCTGCTGACAGCCACAGAGCCTGGGCTGGGGGGCAAGGGGCAGCAGGGCTGGGAAGCAGGGACTTTGGGTGGGGGCAAGGGGCATCAGGGCTGGGGGGCAAGAGGCACAAGCAGGGCATCCTGCCATGTACCCCCTGCAGTCATTTTGTTTTTCTGGCATGCCGGCACTCCGGCACCTTCTAAGGTAGGCATTGTGGGGGTTTTCAGCACTCCAGCCAAAAAACGTTGCCTACCCCTGGCTTACATCATTGTTAACTGCAAATGGTTTTCATTCTTTGCATTGAATTAATGTTGGCTTCAGAAGCAGAATATTTTAATTTTATGTTTATCTACTCAGTTTTCCCAATGGATCTAACGCAATGAAGAGTGACACTAATGCAGCTTTATGCTAATTTATGACAATTTCTGTTGACTAGTGAAAAACTATTTGTGACTGGGCAGATATGTCTCTATTGGGTTAGGAGCAGGATCTGTTTATATCAGATTCTGAACTCTGTGACCTAATGTGTAGAAATACTAATACTGGAATAATGAGAATCGGGGCTTGGCCTGGGGCAACCTAACATGTTGCATTTTAAACAAATACACTGCCCAAGAAAGGTATTTGACACCTTACAAGACCACAGTCATATCCATGTATATCTATACTGCTAACTTACTGCACTGGAGGGTGCTATGTTGAACCAACACAGGGCTGTGTGTGCACCCCATCAAAGTAGTATAGCCATCTTAGTATGGCATTGTGGCCAAGCTAGTTAATTGTGCTGAGAGATAGTATTTTGCTACATATAGAAGAGACTTGCAGGAGATAGAGGACAGCACAGATCCTGTTAAGCCTGAAATAATGACAAAATGCAGACTCCCAAGAGAGATTTGTTGGGGTCAGCATGACATCTCATTGCATACTGCCCTTGATCAGCTCATGTATCACTGTGGCAACTTCCTCATAGGGTGATTCTGCTGTAGCATATCCCTGGATAAATTCAGGCTTCTTTCTGCCATTACCCCACCCTTGGTGCCATTCTGTGTTCCCCCTCTGTATCCCCTACCATGGCATACTTGGCAATGTGACCAAAACCATGGGCAGATCCAGGATTTTGAAAAGGAGGGAGCAGATGGAGGGGTGCATTCTTCTTTCGTATGACAAAAACAGTGTCTGTATCTTTATTTTTGTGTGCTTTGGCGATTTTGTTAGTTCGGGAGCTCTTGGACATCAGAGACGTTACCAGGGATCACTATGTGGAAGTAACTCTCATTGATTCCCATGGGGTGCATCATCAAATATAACATGACACACATTTTTCTCATTTCAATTGTTATGGTAGCACAAATGCAACATCGGGCAACCTCTTTTCCTGCCTGCGGGTCTGCGTGCTGTAGTGCCACTGAACAACGCCTCCCCGGCCCCATGTGCTAAGTACATTGAACTGAATAAGGAACCAAGTTGGGCTGGGACTGGGGGGTAAAATCTGCCCCAGATTATGCCAAGCCCCCCCCTGCAATTGGGAGACTCCCCTGAAATAGTCCGAATAGGGCATGGCCCAACCCAAAGCTTGGCTTTCAAGTGGCACGGTGCCACCTTGCAAGCTCCCTGAGCCTGTGCGCTGTGCACTTTGCACTGAATAATCGGAGCTGGCCGGAGCCCCACCGTGGGTCACCTCAAATGACACATCTCTGCAATCGGGATACTTTCCCGAAGCCTCCTGGGCAGGGCGCTGCCCAGCTTGAATTCTGGTTTTTCAGTGGCACTTGGCAGCTCCCCAGGCCCGTGCGCCATGGGTACTGACCTGAATAAGGAGCTGGGGTGGCTTTTCTTGTTGAACTCCCCCTAGCCGGGTGCAGGGGCTGAGCTGGAGCCAGGCTGCAGGGCGGCGGGACACAGGAGCGCCCGGGCCCCCAGGCAGCTTCCCTGCAGGAGCGAGGCCAGCTTGCACAGGGGCACATCAAGGCCCTTAGAGAAGGTGGGGGCGGGTGCGTTTTTTCTTTCGTACGACAGAAAAGCTGTCCGTATCTTCGTGCGCTCTGGCACTTTTTCGGTTCGGGGGCTCCTGGCCACCGGAGACGTTTCCAGGCACCCCAGGGCGCAGAGAGCAGCAGGAGCCGCGAGGTGAAGCGAGTCCCGGAGG